GCCCCATAACTCCGTTCAGAGAATCGTTCCGCAAAAACGGAGGGCAGATTTGGATTCAGCGGCTCAAGACACGTCCACATGTGTACATCTCATTGCAAATGGCCGGATCGACCTGTTGGGGTTCCCTTGTCAGTACATCAGGATTCTTCGTGAGCTCTACAGCAACTTCACGACCAAGATCTCACCATTCTACAAGGAGATCATCATCGATGTGAAGAGAGGGGTCCGACAGGGCGACACCATCTCGCCCAAGCTCTTCAGCGCCTCTCTCGAGAACGTCATGCGTCAACTGGAATGGGAAGACATGGGAGTGAAGATCGACGGTCGGCAACTACACCATCTCCGCTTTGCTGACGACATCGTTTTGATAACACCAAACATCGAGCAAGCGGAACGAATGCTGGCTGAATTCGACTGCGCGTGTGGAAGAATCGGTCTATGGCTGAGCGGGCGGCTTGGGGAGCCTTCAAGAACATCGAGGGAGTAGCGAAGAAGACGAAGAACACCAAGCTCCGTGCCCACCTCTTCGATTCCGCGGTCCTTCCTGCCTTGACGTACGCCTCAGAGACTTGGACTCTACGAAAGCAGGATGAGCATGCGGTCGGCGTTATTCAACGCGCCATCGAAAGGGCGATGCTCGGAGTTTCCCGCTACACGCAAGTGAGAGAGGGAATCCGGAGCTCCGCACTCCGCCAACGATCGAAGATCAGAGACGCCGCCGCATTTGCCAAGGTTTCGAAGATCAGGTGGGCCGGACACGTCATGCGTTTCGAGGACGACCGCTGGACCAGAGCATCACCGACTGGATTCCACGGGATGTCAAGCGAACGCCTGGACGACCGCCTACGCGATGGTCAGACTTCTTCGTGAAAGCTCTGAACGAATGGTATGAAGTTCATCGTGTCCCTCGAGCTGAGAGAGTTCATTGGGCAACTCTTGCACGTTGCAGGGACGAATGGAGACGTTACTGGCGCCCGCTCGAGGAACTCGATGATCAACGGGAGCACAGGTGATACAGGTGAAATGTACACACTAGGGTTGGGAACTTCCTGTTTCTCTACCTTCTCACGTCGCTGCGTCGCCAACACGCTTACGGGCATGGGAAGGATTGCTGGAGGCGGGCGGTTTTTGCGGGCGTCACTGGTGGAACGGCTGCGAGAGGGCGTGCGGCCACACCCCAATTAACCCTCCCTCCGATTACATTGGCGGGAACCCCCGCCCCCACCTATCTGCCCACTGCCTCTATGTCAGTGAACGCGAGCACTTCATGACAGGAACTTTGCGGTAGACATACATCGTGCCTTGAAGCCACACGCTCCTAGTATTCTTACTCTGCCCTTTCGAGTGGCACTAGACTATGTGTGGCCACGGACTTGGCATCTCGAAGGTCGTAGGTGCGTACGTGGCTCAATACGAAGGGAACCAAGCACTCACGGAATGCGTCTGTAAGTTCGGATGCAAAAGGAGGTCTAAAAACGAGAATTATAACAGCAGCAGTACCTTGGACAATACTGGTTATTGCGATGTTAGTGCCCATTCCTAGGTCATGTCATAGAACTACACCTATGCATTAGGCAGCGTTCAGACTTCGCGACGGCAGCGCTTCGGTCGCGCGTTCGACGCGATCGATGCGCATGCTTTCGACTGCATCGATCGCGTCCAACGCGCGACCGAAGCGCTGCCATCGCGAAGTCTGAACGCTGCCTTACATCTTGGGTTCGGATAGCGTTCTCATTTCGTCTTGACCAGCGGCAAAGAAGCGTAAATCCTGAAAGGGGTACCGGCAGCTATCGTTTTGGTGGAAACGCTATCTCGTTTCAAAGTAGTTTATTCTATTTCATCAAGGTGTCATTGGTGGCTGTGCATGTGCAGGTCATTGACGTTGTGTTGCTTCGATTTGAACGAAACACTTTTCAGAGCACTCACATCCCAGCCAGACGCGCAACAACTTACCAAAACACCAGAAGGACTTACAGTCCCCTTGAAAGAGCACCAGATGTCGGGTCTAACGTGGATGAAATGGCGCGAGTCTCTTGCACCTAGAGGAGGAATCCTTGGTAAGCGTGTTTGAGCTTCTACTGTTCTCCCTACTGCTCTATCCTGCTCGTATTGCTTTTTCGAACTATTATTTGGGTTCTGGGCCTCTATGTATGCCTTTCATCATGTTGCTTTCTACTCGTTTCTGAATAGTGGTAGAAAGTAGATGGTAACGAGCAACTGCTAACATCGAGCGAATTTAAAGATAAGTTGTATGGTCAGCTGTTACATTACTCTACGAAATAGTTCAACATTTGCGCTTCAACGTGTACTAGCGCAGATTTCGCGATACAGAGTTGATTTGTCTCACATGTTCCTGGTAACTTATATCACTACCGTTGTTGGCAGTGATCTAATTAGCACCTTGGTTCTCAGTTTTGAGCACCATAGTTCACACCTAGCTGCCCTCAATACCATCTTTCAAGGCACATTCCGCGATTGCAAAACGTATAGTGCACGAATTTGTAGGTACCAGGTGGCTCACTGGTGAAAAAAGAGCAGACGAAATAGTTGGAAATATCCAGAATAAAGCCCATGTGATTTTTTACAGTGGACGAGCACCCGGAGAATTTTCTGTTCCACCATTTTGCCACTACTGTTAGTGACATCTGCACATACGAGTCCCTCCTCTCTATTGAAAGGTCACATACGACCCCACGTCGCAGATTCCGTTACATACGCTAGACCTTGATAGGCAGTACCTTTGAAAAATGATATTCCAAAACTTTCCACCGATTGTTGTCGCTTGCCCTGTCGAACTGTTGCTGGTAAACGGACCGGCGCCGCGCCTAACCCAGCCCCCTGACCCGACTCAGCGTTCGTCGAGAACAAGACGGTATATTCAACCTACTTTCTTACATTGAAGGTGGGAGTCCGATTAAAAGTTGATTGATTGATCCGAACAGAGCACGCGAACAGAAGGCTTATGTCTTGCAGAGAAACCATCACTCATCAGGCAATAACTGGAAACACTGAGTACAATATCGTTTAGCGGACGAGATGGGTCTCGGAAAAACCTTGTCCGTGATAGCGCTTATTGTTGATGCAAAGCTTGCAAGGAAACAAAGGAGACGCGATGGTAAGGATGAACAGGATAAGGAGCGAAAGCAGCGAATTCGTGAAGAAGGGTAAGGTTTCTTGCCTTCATCTTGTTGTCTACTGATTTATTAGGTCATCCCATTCAAAAGTGCCGTGACATATAGAGGAATGGCAGAAAAACAAAAGCTACTATACCATTTGGAGGCTAGTACCTTAGCTGTGTATCTGTGAAATTTGGCGAACCTACCCACAGAGGAAGTTCTCGAGAAATTGAAAAGAAGCCCGAGTGGTGAAAATCAGCGCCGGATTTTCAAATCAGACGTCATAAGAGGGAAGTGCGCTGCTCAAATTCGACCTGCGCCGGACCAGTAGTTGTGTGTAATGGTGTTCTCGAAATACAAGGTTTGGTTCAGGAGCCCGAAGAAGGAAGAAAGGAAAAAATTTGTTGTCGTGGATGGTCCCATAATGTTCATCCTGCACAAGAAAAAAGGGTGGATGAAGTCAAGCGCTGAATGTCTGATCACAGAGCCTGGACCTTTGTCGAGCTTCCCCGCGAGACTGACATCCCTGCTGCAACTGCTGCCCGAGTTATGTCCGATAAACTGAGGATGGTCAAGAGGGTGTGCGCATGGGTACCTAATTTTCTTGTAGAAGCACGAACGCAGTACCTATTCTGTACCTCTAGCAGTAATGTTCTCAGCATGAGATGTCATTCACGACTGTGAAAACGCACCCCGGCCCTAGATGAAATATGGGTGGTCTTGGACCTCGAGCCAAAACTCACAATCGTCAATTTTGTATGAATGCAGATGAGAAGCCGCCCGAGTTCTACCATGAGGAGTTACGTGGGCGCAAGTGGATGATCATCATAGCGAAGGATTCCTACACTGTGGCTTTCAGGCGGCTCTATACAGAGAATAAAATCGTAGCTGTCGGTGTATATTGCCTGTTCCTCGGCAATCAGATCGACAAATGGATGATACCACACAACTACAAGAAGGCCACCGTTGCTCGTCATAGTGCCAGACCCCGAGTAACTGTATTGTAGGGCAGTGCTGGGACACAAACAATACTGAGACCTGGGTTCAATCGCCCCACATAAAGCCGAGCGATTCCAATTGTTCTCGTCAGTCGAGAGTACTCTCCGACGGCAAACGCTACAATGTTTTGTCATTCGCCGAAATTGGCAGCACTTGTTGAAAAATCGAAGGTACCAGAGGTCCAAAGGCTTTCGGGGCACTGGGAGCGGGTCATTGGTGAAGGAGGGATTTACTTAACTTGAAGCCAAAATATTACTTTTTTATCTATTCTCCTCTTTGTTTATTCGAATAAAACCGACGGCACTTTTGAATGGGATGACCTAATACGTAATCGAACAAGTCCTTTCATGACGATTTCTGAAAAGTAGTGAACTATTATAAGCCGATAAGACTCTGAATACCTTTCAAGCACCATCAAGTTATACCTTCCTTCTTTCTTCTTCATGTTGCTAGCAACAGAGTGTGGCCGTCCGTGTGGCGTGTTAAGCGTCTGTGATGTGTCTCGTATCAAGGACTAACTGCATACCAACCTTCGTGGATTCTGTTCGTTTCCGTGAGCGAAATTAAGGAGCCCGCAGCTGCAGTAGCTTACCATTTTCTCCCGTTAAAAGTACACGGAAACAGTAGTAGAGTATCAGGACTGGACGCCTCGGTACCGTCTCCTCGCTCCTCCCGCGCTATCGCACGGTCAGCCACACGTCTGACTATAGCCAAACGCGCTACTTGCTTGCGCTCTCTCACTTCTGTTGGTTCTCTGCCGCTGATTTTGTGTTGCGAGCGATGAATGGAGACGAGCACGAGTGTCACTACCCTCCGGCTCTGTTATTTACTTTTAAGCTGAGAAAAGTTATTAGTTATTAAGTGTAAAGTTATTAGTTATTAGTTATTAAGTGACCAGTTATCATAATCTCTAGCTTCGTTTCCGTTCCTTTTCTTCTGATGAGAGTCGTATTCCTCCCCAAATACAGATCTGCCCCCCCCCCCTCGCACGTGGAAAGTGCCAAGCAAGTTTTCGCATAGTTGTCTTGCATGTAATTTTCCTGTTTCAGTTCTGCCTTCGGAACACTTCTGAAGTTTCCCTTGATTTACATTACTGTTGGTTATTAATCCCACCCTGCATAATAATCACAGTATTTCATCAGATTGATACCATCAAATGCTACCCTTGTCATTGCACCGGCGGCGTTGATTTATCATTGGGAGACGGAAATCAGATCTCGTTGCGAAGATCACCTGCTGAAGATAAAAGTTTACCACAACAACAGGAAGAGCGTTCAATATGAGATGTGAGCCTATTTTGTACTTTTTGTGAAACTATGCGTTCCTTTCGTGAAGTAGTTCAGGCTTGCGAGAGCGGATGTTGTTATCACTACTTACACTCTGGTTGCAAATGAGATAGAGAGGAGCACGAAAGGAAAGGTGGTTACTTGTTACTCTACCCGTCCCCCAGCAGATTTAGGCGGCGTTTGTTTATTGTTCGCAATTGTTTCGCAGTTTGCTGCACAGTATTGCAATTAGGTGAACAAGCACGCTGCTCGCTCGCAGGGCTGTGACAAGACAATCTTGGCACGCTATGCTGGTGGGGCAAGCGGCGCCGGACGAGTTGTCCTACGTGACCATTCGAACAGGGTGCTAAACGGGAGAGGAAAACCAATGTCACTCTTGTTTTGTCTCTTGAATTCATACCATTTTCACTTTAAATTCACCACTTTTCAAAGCAAATTCACCACTTTTCAAACCAAATTCACCACTCTTTTTAGACCGGGCAGTTCACCAACCAGATCACGCCAGACACCACTGCGAGCCCCGCCCCGACGGTCACGCCTACTTGTCAGCGCGGACATAGATTTTCAACACATCGACACATGGCCGACTCCGCCCATTCTTTGAAGGGTTTGTTGCGAACTTCGAAATTTCATAACTTTTTCAACTTTTTAATTTCACATCCACTCTTTGCACAACGAAGATACTCGTACCCGCGCATTTATGCACTGGCAATTTAGGCTCCGCCCCCTTGGCCACGCTCACTTGCTTTTTGCGGATTTTGAATTTTTTTGTTGTGCTGCTCCATTAAGCCCCGCCCACTGTGAGAGGCTCCGCCCACTTTGAAGAAGCCCGCCCACTTTTCAAAAATGGTGCAATCGGCAGTATAGAGTCTTGGCTTGCATGCTAGGGTCTCGTCCGTCACTCGGAACAAACTTTGCCTGATTTATTTGTTCCGAGTGACGGACGAGACCCTAGCATGCAAGCCAAGACTCTATACTGCCGATTTGCACCATTTTTGAAAAGTGGGCTTCTTCGAAGTTGGCGGGGCTCTCACAGTGGGCGGGGCTTCATGGAGCAGCCCAGAGACGTACAATGTTTGAAAAAAAAATATCAAAATTCCGCAAAAAGCAAGTGGGCGTGGCCAAGGGGGCGGAGCCTAAATTGCCAGTGCATAAATGCGCGGGTACGAGTATCTTCGTTGTGCAAGGAGTGGATGTGAAATTAAAAAGTTGAAAAAGTTATGAAATTTCGAAGTTCGCAACAAACCCTTCAAGGAATGGGCGGAGTCGGCCATGTGTCGATGTGTTGAAAATCTATGTCCGTGCTGACAAGTAGGCGTGACCGTCGGGGCGGGGCTCGCAGTGGTGTCTGGCGTGATCTGGTTGGTGAACTGCCCGGTCTAAAAAGAGTGGTGAATTTGATTTGAAAAGTGGTGAATTTGGTTTGAAAAGTGGTGAATTTGGTTTGAAAAGTGGTGAATTACGGATTGAAAGAAAAGTGGTGAATTCGAGTGAAAACGGTACATATGAGATTTATATAAGTTTCGCCGATCTAATCAATAAACTGATGCACTGCGCTCCTAAACTTTGCATGTGGTTACACCGCGCGCGGTGACACGTCAGACCACGATTGTCTTGTCCGTCTCCCCTCGCACGGGGACCATGATTGGGAGCCGCGAGTTTTTTTCAGCGTTTAGTACTCACTTACTTATTTGAATCATTACGGCACTATTTACCCTTTACTGCCCAATCATCCGAAATCTGGCCAGTTTTGACCGACTTTTTTCTCCGTGAACGGAATTGGCTAAAATTTGTCTCCTGGGGTAGTTTGACCTCCTGAACGCTGGTATCGCATCCACTCGGCACGAAACCTCCTGGCGCTCGCGCCACAGGCGCCGGCGCCAAAATACCCTAATAGAAACAAAGAAAAACAAACATTGGGGAAATAAACCAGCGGCGCCTGTGGCGCGGGCGCCAGGAAGTTTCGGGCTAAGCGAATGTGATATTCGTATTCAGGAGGTCAAACTACCCCAGGAGACAACATTTGAGCCAAATCTGTCCACGGAGAAAAAAGTCGGTCAAAAACTGGCTCAATTGCAGATGATTGGGGCAGTAAAGGGTAAATAGCCCCATTACTCTGAAGACTCTGTATCGAGACTGTTTGAAGGGAGAGAGTCCGCTTGTTGACATCCACTGGGGCCGAATTGTACTGGATGAGGCGCATGCTGTGAAAAACAGGAAAACAAAGGCTTCCAAGGTGAGCAGTGAATTCAGCTTACATCTCCTGTTTTTCTTTTTTCCCATACTCTATTGTTCGTTACTGTTTGGTTTCTTGGTGTGACGCGTTTAATCACGCCTGGCTTCAAATCTCGAACCGACTTCTGTCCAAGCCTACTATTCCTCCGATGTCGCGAGTTTGTGAGGAGAACGGAACGCTCGTCCTTTGACCAATTTACCATCAGTTGTCTGGGATGTCTGTCTGAACTCGCCTGGGACGATAGTAACACTAACTAGTACGGCTGACCGTGCATGTCATTATGTAAACTTTAGCTCAGTATTCTTTGGATTCGGTACGCATGCTACTTCCGTTTACATTTCACTGGCATTTGAAATAAGACATCGCCTATAGAACGACGCGAACGGGCCAGCTAGATGTGAAAGTCCTTTCTTTCAATCCACCCTGTCGATACTGGTACTTCTGCTACTAACTGATCTTCCTTGGCGTGGTGGAAAGCTTCGTTGGGCAGGACACGGGCCAGCTCGGGATGACCCCCGCACCGCGTACGCGGGGAGTGAGCGGCACCACTTGCCGCTATGCCACCCTTCTTATCGAATGCGTTGCAATTTCGAATGGGAATAAAATACTCGCCGTATCCCGAAAGTGATTCGTCACGATAAAAAATTCTGGAATTCACGTAAACTTGAAGTCGGCTGGTCAAGACCAACAATTTGTCCACTATCTACGACTTCGCAACTTCATGACTTGGAAATTTTAAAAAATTTGTTTTCCATCTAATGCTTTGCAGGCTGTGTGCGCACTAACAGCTGATGCACGATGGTGCGTAACTGGGACACCACTGCATAACAATTTGTGGGATTTGTACTCGTTAATGAAGTGAGGCTATCTATCTTGACGGTACAGTTTTGAAGCATTTTCACTGTATCACTAATGTCTCTTGCAGATTTTTAAAAGTCGATTACTTCAGTGAGGAACGATTCTGGAAAGAATATGTAGCGTCGGCGACAAGTAAGTAATACTTCTCCATTAGTACTGATCACTTTTGCTTCGGTGGCTAGGTGTCTTAAAGACAATTCCCGCGATCAAGTGTTCGGGTAATTGGTGCTCAGTCACGAAGCAGTGGCCCATTTGTAACCCCCCAGTGGAAAAAAAATCGAAAAAAAAACCTCGCGAACACCCTGAACACAGACCTCCCAGTGGGGGCGGGGCCTGGACGAGTGTGCCGGACGTGGCTGCCAGAAATCGATGCGGCAGCCGCAATTGCGTCCCGACTTTCGAAATAGGATACTTTAAAGGGACGGAAGCAGCTCGGGACCGGACGCCTCGTCCACCTACCGTGTCAGCGAGCCTAGCGAGCCTTGTGGAAATCGCTATAACTTCCTTATCGCGCCATATTGAGGGATGAAAGTGGTATCATCTTCGTCAAGGCGTAGAGGGTTCCAAAAAGCACGAAGTCATTTTAAGGATTACTTGATCGCGGGAAGTGTCTTTAAAGACAGCCCCCGCGCTCGAGTAGTCCGTGGTCGTCCTTCCTCTGTACAGGTAGTTTCAGTCCCCAAGGCTAGATGTATCCACATCGCCGCAACTCCAGCAGTGAGCCGAGAAGCGATGCCTACAGCCCGCTCAAAGTTCTAGTTCTAACGCCCGAGTCAGTTGGACACCCTCTCACTTGCGCTAGCTGCCGCTCTGACGAGTCAGTCGCTTTTTGTAGGGCAATAATCGGGTTACAAGTCATTTTTGCAGACCGCGATGGTGCCCTTAGATAACTCTGCTCTCCTTTATCACATTTCATTCACTGAAAGCACATACAGTCAAATGCAACCATCTCGTAAGGAAAAACGCATAAAAATCACGAGTGATGAAATTTTTATGGTGCAAAAGCTCGGCAACATGGCACTAAAAGCCGCTCGCATACCGCGACGCCCGCCAAATTCGGACGCCGTGTCTTTGAAAGTTTTTTTTTTGCCTTTCAGGAGTTTTTCTTCCGAGTTTTTATTGTTTTTCGTATTCTTTTCATTGCATTGGATGATATCCACTACTGAGAGATGTGATAAAGAGATCTGCGAGCCAGGGGTTGCCCATGGTGTTCTTGAGGGCTTGTTGCTTTTTTCCCTCATTGAGGCATTACTTATCAGCTACTGTTTCATAATTGATCAGCAGTTATCCTCGCCACTTTTATCGCAGGAGCTGTCTTTAAGGGTACCACGCCACTTACCACGTATGCAGTCCGGGGATCGAACCCACGGTCAGCTTCCGCGCCTTCCGAACCATTCCTCTCGTTCCTGCGAGACCTGCAACTTTACACCAGACTCGTTCGGCTATTATGAAAGCTGGCTTAAACATCGGCTGGCCCTCAAAGTTCATGCTCCGGATCACATTCTTTATGCCACTAGGATACTGAGTGGAGGTGGAAGCATAGCGCGCCCCAAAAGCGGATTGATTGACATGAAATTTTTGCCTTTTCTTTACCAGGGTCACCTTTTATTAGTCTCAACTCTCATGTCTTTCAGAGAAATCAGCAGAAAGGCTGAATTTGCTAATGAGAAACTATGTGCTGAGGCGGGAGAAGAGCTTCCTATCACCACTATCGGAGAAGCCTCTTGTCTGTTTACTAAGAGCAGTTTTTTTTTTTTTATACGAGTCGTTGGATAAGTTTGCATGATTGTTCAGGTTTGAAGCTTGCCTGAAAACAAATAGCCATGAGCATGATGCTGCAGGTTTGTTTCGTGAGAGCGAGCGTAAGGCATATGATCTGATGTATGAAGCGTCAAGGTGGGTGTCATTAGGTTTGAATAATACTTCTCATTCCTCCTAAAGGAAAATGCGTCAAAATGACTTGCTCGAAAACTTGCGAAGTTGGCCGTTATTCAGTTAGAACGAAGCAATGTATGCTCATATACAGATGCAACTAAGCCAAGAGAATCCCGTGGCTCTCGCTTTTTTAGCGTCCTTTAGAGCACTAGTCGCGATCCAAGCTTTGAACCTTCCCAAAATTCCATTGAACTAGATAGCAGTGTCACCGCCTCTCTTCGTACTTCACCATCGTTTACCTAGCGAAGAGAATGACGATATTTGTGAATACCTTAAGCTGTGTTCATATTAGACTGCGTCCTCTTATGTTTCGAGCGTCTGACAGCGTGTACCAGCATCTCCCAGCGTTCACCAGCGTCTCGAGCGCCTTGGAAGTATGGTATCGATCTAGCGTATATCAGCATAGGCCAGCGTGCTCCAGCGTCTACTAGTGTTGCGGTAGAGGAGAGTACGGTGCGAAAGGTTGGTAGCCAGTCGGTAGAGTATGGATAAGGAGTATCAGGCTGCTGGTAGAAAGTATGGCGCGATCTGAGGATAGAAGACGGCTGGTACCCTCCTATCTCGCCATTCTCTCTACCAGCTGTCTGCTACCTTCCTATCCCTCATACACTACCAAGCTGTCTGCTTACGCCTCCTATCGAGACCTACTCTTTCCTTGTTCGCGGACCGCTTGCGTAGGCACTGATGGCACGCTAGGAGCACACGCTGGTAGAAGCTAGATCCACGTCTATAGATTCCCAGTCGCTGACGCTGCCGTACGCTCGAAATGTCAGTGAAGGCACCGCAGAGTATGAACGCAGTCTTAGTCTCTTCCCTTTTCGCTGGATTCCTGCCCTCTTTTGAAGACAAATTGTACTCTCACCTGTGTGAATCTTGGACCTGGTCGTGTGCGAGGTAAATAAGTCTGCAGATGCAGTACCGTGCCACTTCCCCTGCTCAAATATGCACGGGACGGGCTGGAGTTGTCAAGCGATGGCGTAAGTGCTCCGTTCGAACTCCGCCCCGCCGCTGCCACATCAGTAGTATACTTCTCAGGCCCTCGAGACGCTGGTGCACGCTGGTAGACGCTGGCAGGCGCTAGATCTACGTCTATACATTCCCGTCTATACATTCGTCTTGTGCGAGGTAAATAGGTCTGCAGCTGCAGTACTGTGCAGCTTCTCCTGCCTAAATATGCAGGGGAACGGGCTGGAGTGTAATGATGCGTAAGTGCCGTTCGGACTCCGCCCCGCCGCTGCCACAGTGCCAGC